AGAGACCCAAACCTTTAATTCACAGCTATGGGAAGCATTGGAGTAAATCCCCTGCTCATTACTATTGTTACTAATGTATATGGATGCTTCAAGGAATGACAAAATGTACAGAGTCTGAAAACACATGTATTGAAAGTAAAAAGCAGAGGCACATAAGCCAGCCTTTCAGATTCTGCTGATGCTTTATCTGAGATAGCAGCCTGATAAAACACCCTACCTGTCTGTTCAGGATGGTTGCTTAAGGACATTATGATGACAGACATTTCTGGCATGTCACTTTTTGTTCTGTGGTTGTTAGGATAGCTGTCATTTCTCTCCTTCTTCCATTTCTTGTAATGCTTGTTTACTTATTTGGTAATGCTTAGTCCTCTTTTAGGAGTAAAAGATGCTAAGGCTACAAATAGGACACAGATGGCAGCAAGCTCCTATTAATTAACAGTAAAGCACCAAACACATACAACTATTTATACTCAGCTAGTACTTACAATCATAGGGTATATCATTCATATTAGTTTCTAAGAGAGATTGGTATCTTCAGAAAATCTGGATTCTGCTCCTTTCAGAAAACTGTGGGATCGACTTCCCAAAAGATATCTGAGGAACTTACTAATACTGCAGTCGTAAAATTACCACCTCTAATCTAATGTGTTGAACAGACCAAGAAGTTCATAATTATCTAGAAGTTTGATTCCTGCTAAGGAAACAGAAGGGGAAATGAAGCAGTGCCTGTCTCCATAGTAGCTCTGAGCTGCTACCTGGGTACCCCACAGTCATGGGATGTGAAACATCCATGAGCCAAGAGAGAGTGAACAGATTACCACTACAAGACGTCAGGATAACATCTGAGAAAAATATCAGGCTTCAAGGGAGGCGTTAAAAAAGGAAAGTTTTAGGTCATCAATGCTGGGTTGGGTGACGGAGAAGGTTGGTTTGAAGGAAGGAAGAAGGGAGTAAGTGAGAATACTGGTCTCTAGCAGAGTCTTTATGAGGCAGTGTAAGTCTAGCAGGGGTTAATAGAAAGTAATAGGATTAAACTTGGCTGAATTCAGAGCAAATAGTGCGATTTGCTTTCTCAGGGGTTTGAGATTTGGAGGCTTGGCAGTTCACTAAGAAATTAAACATTAAAAGGGGTGGTTGAAGTATTTATTATTATTAATATTATTAATAATCTTTCAAATCCCTGGCAGGGATATGGTCCTTAGGTGACCCACCTGCAGAAGAGGTAATATGTATGGAGGGTGGCTGCTGGCTGAGAAGAAAAAAGGCTGTGGACTGGTTATATAGTGCTGCACTTCTTGGAGTGCAGCATATTTCTGCCTGCATGCCTTGGTCTTTCTCCAAGACTTGAGATTGCTAGCACCATGGGAAAGGATCCACAATGGCTACACGCTGCTGGAGATACAGAGTATATATATTTAGTCCTTACTATGTGTGGAAGAGGGAACTCTTTGATTTATATAGCCAGCACCACAGCTGTGTCTCCATTGTATTTTTTTTTTTTTAATTTCTGTAGCAAGAAATAAAATAAAGGTGAAATCCCTTGAGCTTCCTGGAAAGTAAGTTTTGTTGGAAGAAAATAGAGTTTTCTTTCCTTACAGCTCCCTCCCTTCTCCTCCCCTTCCCCCCCAAAAGAAAAAGAGGTAAATTAATGTTATAGTGTTGCCCAAATCTATTGACAATGCCAGTTGAAATGGTTGAATGGTTGAAACAATAAAACTCTACTGGTATCTGGTTTCATGTGGGCAGTCGGAAGGCAAGTTCCAGGCCAAAGTAGGGGTGACTGTTAGAAATACAATCACCTCAGGAAGGCTGGAGCTTGCCCGTTGACTCACTCTCCTAACGCTACCACCAAAAAAGAAAATAGTGTTTGTAGAAGTGAAACAACAGCTGACCCATTGTTTTGTTTTGTTTTGGTTTGGTTTTTTCCCTACAGGATTTCTTCACCCCTGTGCTGGAAAGCTCTGTCACTTTACACACTGGAAATCCAAACAATGTATAAGAATATACCTTGAGGAGCAAATACTGCACTGACACTAAGTTTGTCCTGCAGCCCATGTAAAGGGACAAACCCAGCTACCAGTGAACACATATGAGAAATACAGAGGGACTGGTAAGGTAAAAAACTCTCTATCAACTTTAGGCTAAAACAAAAATGTGCATCTCTCCAGAAAAGTCTCCGATACTGAGACAACCAGGAAATAAGTTACTTGCTTGGTGGTGGTGGCACCACAAGAAGTGGATCTCCCAAGGGGGGTCGATTCAACAGCTGGATTCAATGCTGGTTTTAAGTGGACCTCTCCCAGGATCTTCTGAATCCAGACAACTGTAATGTTTGCTTGCTGTCTTTTATTTTCTCTCAACTGTCCTCTTAGGACCTCTCTCATAGAAAAGAGTCCATTGTAGCTTTACTTATCTACAGGTGACAGAACTCAACTGCATGGTGGGAAATGTACTAGTGTTCTTCAAAAGTTGTTAAGAAATTAGGGTTGTGCCCCCTGGTGAAGGTAGCAGTTGCATCATTAGGCATAGATGAAAGAAAGTCATCTGACATGTCTCCTTTTGCTGATTCTAGCTCAATGGGGCTCAATCTGGGGGCAAAAAAGGAAGAAGCTGAAAGTCTTCATTGTAATGATTGCTTGAGTTTGCCTACACAACTACAGAGCTTTCCTGTTAACATCTATAAGCAGTCCTGAAACCAATCATTTAGACAAGATATAATGGCATATTATTGCCTGCGAAGGAATTGCACTTAGGTTTTCCAGTATTCCTCTGTTGCTAGATTTAGTATCACATTACAGGAAGCCTGACTGGACAAACCTTGGCAAGATCTCATGTTCTTCATTGTTCTGTTTTACACACTGACATGCAGATGCTGATGTGTTTTGGAGAAAGTATGAGCTGGCTTTGCATATTTTGCTATTCAAAAAGAACTAGGTTTTAGAGCCCCATGTCCCAGAAGACCTGTGAGAATGAAGCTTTAGACTGTATTTTGTCTCTTCAAGCCAAGATTATCTACAAAAGAAGTTGTACAAAAGATAATGTATTTTTATTGAGCTGGTTAGTCAGTAAGGCTTTTAATGTCAGAGGAAACCTGAGGGATGCAGCTATGAGTCTCTGTGGTTAACTCCTGAAGCACTTATGTAATGTCCTAGAATAATATACTCCACACTTAGTTTAAAAAGAACAACCAACCAAAAAACCCAACCAAAAACCCTTAAAAAAGAAAATCACAAATCCCAGTATCTGCAATATGAGAAGACATAGGATTACCTACTTTCTTACCTACATGAAAATGTATTTTCTTTGATTATGACTACTCTCTATGTGCTTTTCCATTCACTCAGCTGTGTTAGTCTACAGTAACTGTTTAGCAATAGCATGTTTGGATCTATGTGTCCAGCAATATTTTGCAATTTACTCCTTGGCATCTTCACTGCATTTACAAATAACAGACTATGTTTTTCAAGTTCTCCACCTGCTACTTCATCATAGCACACAAGAACATATGCACTGTCTGCCAGACCAATGCAGGACTTAATTTCCTTAGATGAGCTAATCAGCAAACAGGCACCAGCTAAAGCAGAATGAACCAAGGCAATCGCAGAAAAGTCACTGGAAGTTTTGTTCTCGGACAAAAATAAGAAAAAATAAATTCATTAAGATTTACTGAGCATGAAATCTTCAGATGATAAGGATCCGAAACTGCAAATTCTCACCATCCACCCACGAATTCTGGACTAGAGAAGCACTAAGTACATAAGTGGTATTGCTGAGACTATTAACAGTTGGGTCCCATGTGTAAGCAGTGGGCTATGGAAAGGAGATGTGTCTGCTTGAATCATAGAATCATATAATGGTTTGGGTTGGAAAGGACCTTAAAGCCCATCCAGTCCCAACCCCCCTGCCCCGGGCAGGGCCCCCTTCCCCCAGCCCAGGGGGCTCCCAGCCCCGTCCAACCTGGCCTTGAACCCTTCCAGGGAGGGGGCAGCCACAGCTGCTCTGGGCACCCTGGGCCAGCGCCTCACCCCCCCCACAGGAAACAATTTCTTCCTTATATCTAATCTAAATCTGACCTCTGACAGTTTAAAACCATTACCCCTTGTCCTATCCCTACATCTCGTGATAAAGAGTCCCTCCCCACCTTCCCTGTCCCCCCTTTAAGCCCTGGGAGGCCGCTCGAAGGGCTCCCCGGAGCCTTCTCTTCTCCAGGCTGAACCCCCCCAACTCTCTCAGCCCGGCCCCCCAGGGGAGCTGCTCCAGCCCCCCCAGCATCTTCGTGGCCTTCCCTGGCCCCACTCAAGCAGGTCTGTGTCCATCTGATGTTGGGGGCCCCTGAGCTGGACCCAGCACTGAAGGGGGGGCAGCTCATGAGAGCGGAGCAGAGGGGGAGAATCCCCTCCCTTGACTTGCTGGTCTTGATGCAGCCCAGGGCATGGTTGGCTTTCTGGGCTGCAAGCACACATCCCTGACTCATATTCAGTTTTCTATACACTACTACTCCCAAGCCCTACTCTGCTGTGCTGCTCTCAAGATAAGCATTCCTCAGAAAAGCTATGAACCTGAACTCCTAATGGCTACCAAGAACAATATTTATATTGTTTACCAAAACTCAGTGCTTCTAAATGCTTCTCTATTAGAAAAGAGTACTTTGTATTGTCGGTAAATGGGATAATAAGGAAGTGTGAAAGATGAGTCACCAAGCCACAGGGAAAGAAAATGTAGTGTGAGCAACCGCAGCACCCTCACTTGGCCCTGTGGTCCTTCGATAGAGCATCACACAGTTTCCTGCAGCTGTGGCCTCCAACAAGAGCTATGTTCAGCTCATTAGTGCGGATGAAGGTTAAGGATACGTATCCCAGCTGCCCCAGATGTGCCTACATGACCAAGTTGTCTAAACACCTTGGAATTTTAGTAAGTACATTTATCCTGATCTTACAGGTGTGACTTTAAAGTTGAAGAGCTAAGCCTAATCTTCTCATAGGATTCAGGTGACAACATACCTTCTGGAAATGTGAAGCAACTCGGCTGAGGTTTGTGGTGAGAGCTAGGGCAGGAATCCTGGCACAGCTGTCCAACGGGGCTGTCCTCTCCATGTTTGGTATCCAAATTGTTACAGTACCTTCCTTGAATGTTGAGATGGGGCAGATTCAAAGCAGAACCATGCTGGAAGCTGGGCAAGTTGACACAGAATAACACAGGAGCAAAATGTTGAGCCAGAACGATGAGTAGGGAGTGAAGAGGGGGCTATGCTGATGAATTCTGACTGAAACCTATTTCTATAGATAATGCTTGTATCAAAAAAACAAGACAACAACAAAACAAAACACAAAATGCAAACCAACCACAGACCAGGATATTATGCTAATCCTACTAAAAGTTAAAAGTGGGGGAAGTAAAAGGGGAAAGTTGATGGTGTGTGATAGAGCAGCAATAACTTGTTTTTAAATCTTCATTGCATAAGTGACCTCTTCCTTTACCTAAATTTGAACCTGTGCTTACTCTTAATGGCACCTATCTTGTGTCAAGTGAACAGTCTCTCCCAGTAAACACATATTTCCAATAAAAGATGCTAAAAAGAAAGTTACTGTGGGAAGAGTCACACTGATGAGAGTAACTGTAGGAAGCAAAGGAGAACTTGGCCTTGTGGAAAAGCAATATTTTCACTGTTCTGAGAGGGTTTCATAAATAACTTGGCATATACTTTGAAAATGTCCTTGACGGTGCCCTTTTAACCAACAAGAAAGCAGGCAAGCTCATGTTACAGCATCAGATATGCTGAGCAACTGGTGTGGAGGAAGTATTAATGCCCACAAATCTCCTGTGTAAAATCAAACACAGACAATTACCTTGGTTATGAACCATGGTGGTGTAACAGGCTTCAGCTAGCAGCCTATCCAGCTGCTCTTTGGCACGGATCCTGAACAGACCTTGCAGTTGGTCCTAAATCTTCAGATACTTTCCTCCTCCCCCACCCGCTTGGCTAGTAGCTGTACCAATTACACTAAGCATTCACACAGCTGCTGATGGCTGCCCTTTTCCTAGAGATATGGGCAGCTCGGCCAAATTGCCATCAACAAGCTCTCTCCCAGGCTTTCCCAGTAAAACAGCGGAGACTATCAGTGAAAGGGAGATATAGTCCTGAAGAACTTCCTAGACAATTGCCAGCCAAAGAAATCTGTGCTCCCTTCCTAATAGAAGGGAAAAAGAGGAACCCCCGAATACAACAGCTCCTCCGACCCCAGGCAATTCTGTTGCATCTCTTTGTGCATCTCTGTTAAAGACCTCAGGCTTCCCTTAAAGATATTTAACAAGAGACAGAGCTCACTCCTTTTACCTATCTATGGACACCCTGGTTTTGACAAGGTCCGTTGTCAAAACCTCACTGATTTTTTTCCTGACATCCTTCTTCCCATGTAATTTATACGTGTTTACCAGTGATTCTCTTCCCCTGCCTCTGACATCCTTTGTGCCTAAGCTGCTCCAGAGGTCAAGCAGAGGCATGTGTATATTAACAGAGCAGATAACGGATGAGAACACTCTCATGCTCCGTGGCTCGTGCTCCCTCCAAAGTAGATCATTTCTGCATGGTACAAGCAGTATTGCCAGGCTACGTTTTAAGCATTTAAGCTAATGAAACAAAGATTAGCATCTCAGAAGTCTATTAACAAAGTGGGTTTTTTTTATCCAGTATGTGCATTTATGTATTATTAATGAAACTCAAGACTTGCAGCATATGCCTCTATTCCTCCTTTATCACTCCTATGTATGGCAATGGATAAATTATTCCTATAATTGACCCTTGCTGGTTGTGTCTTAAGAAGTTAACAGTGAAAAGGAAGAGCTTTCTGCTCCTTCCAGAAATTAAGCCCCACTACAACATTAAGCATGGGGTTGAGTTTAGACTGCTTTCTACCTGGCTTACCTGCCTGAAATCTGCATTCCCCCCCGTGAACTGCTTTGCCTTCTATAGGGATAAGAAACCAGGGGAAAGCAGTAGGATTACTCTGAGATAAAAAAGAAAAATGCTGGGTACGAGGAGGTCTGGGAACCCACACCAGCCTTAACTCAGTCTTTACACTGTAATCAGCATGGGATGAAGTTCTGGGGAAACAGGTCTGAAGGCGGGGTATGCAAGAAAAACCCACATGCTACTTCATTTCTCAGAAAAATATTATCATCCTTCCTGCTTCTCCTCCAGAAGCAGCCACTTCTGATCCCTGAGATAAACCCAACTGTTTTCTGTTGTTCCTCCTCTCTTAACCAAGCTCTGCTCCCACAGTGGCTCCTCCACTGCAGTGCCTGCGGCAACGTTCACAGGGGCTCGGGGAGGTGCCTTCCAGCTTCCTCTTCCTCCTCCTCCTCCTCTCCACCTTACCTGCTAACTCTGCCTCCCCCAGTGCTGCTCCCAAGCACAATGTGCCTCCCCAGCCTTTTGTTTTCTACCCTTTTTCCATTGCTTGTGTGCTACCAGTTTGGGGGGATCTTAGGCCACAACCTGCTCAGGCTCTCCTTGTCAGATCCTCTTTACTCCTGTACCCCTTCCTCCTTCTCCCAAGAGGACAGGGAGCTTTTACAGGTTCATTTTTTTCAGACCAGCTGTGTGTTGATAAATAATTATGCAATATTTAGTGGATACTTACTGACTGCAAAGGAAAGCAAGCCTGCAGTGATCCGAAGAAAAACAAGGCAGGGATCATCTTTTCAAGCCTTAACAAAGGAGTTTTGTTGGATAACCAGCTCACAGCAGCATCTGCAGTGGAAACAGTTAATAGTTGTATTTAAAAAAACATGAATGTGAGACTAAGGTAGAACATTTAAAAATAACTGTTCTTAATGTTGCTACGGAGACCTTTATTATAGCCATTGTACGTGATGTGCATTGATTATATTCCGCGTAGGTAAGGCTAGTAGAAGCTGACAATATTCTCACTTGTATGAGATAGTATGCAAGAGCATACAGGTTGTGGAACTAAATAATGTTAGAGAGGCTTACTTGGTTTTTCAACTCTTAAAAATTTGTAAATGTGCAGTACTCCATTAACAGTTTTTTGCCCATACAGATATCCCTTGTTTAATACATTCTGCCTTTTCTAAAGCAAAAGTGCTTAGGATCATTGTAATTGCGGTGATCAATGCAACAACCCTATTATAAAAATAAGGGTTATAATTCATATGGCTGGCAGTTCATGCAGCTGGAGAGCTCTCAGTTAAATCTGAATAGTTTCAACACATGGCATTCAAACAAAAACTGTATTGACTGCATTAAAGATTTTATTTGTCTTTAAGCCTAGTTGATTAGGTCACAGCAGTGAAGGCAGAAGATGTATTGCTGGTGCTCATGCAGTTACATGGGCTGATTTTTTAAAAAGTTTCTGAGAAAATGTTGCTGATCAAAAGTGGTTAAGTCAAAATCTTGGCAAAAAACCTTCAAGTTTTTATTACCATATTCTAAGCTTTACCCATTCCAATAAAAATAACAGTATTTGGAAATGTAGCCCTCACAGAACTTCAGTTTCACTTTTTATATGACAGTTTTCATCTTCCTGTTTTTTTTTTTTTTTTTTTTTTTTTAATATTGACTCGGATTAAATAACCTTGTACAGATGACAAATTTTAGCAGAAATTATTCAGGAAGCCAAGCTTCTTTAGGGCTTATTTCAGAGAAGTTTTAAATTTCATATTGAAAATATTTACTTCAGTTTTTCCATTTGTTAGACTGAGAGCTCGGTAAGTAAATTCAAATAGAAGTGTATAGGCTGCATTTCAGGCAGCTGTGGTTTTAGAGACATGCTTCTAAAATTATTGGAATAACTGAGAACTTGTAGGCTGGTAGTGGGAGGAATTTCTAATTTGCTGCGATACTGAGGACAACAGACGAATTCCTCACTTCTTTTAGCCCACAGACTAGAATTTCACCTTGTCAGTCTATCCAGTATCCTCAGCATCACTGGGTGCCCAGGAAATAAGAATGAATATTGAACAGAACGAAAACTGTGTGCATATACATGAGTTTTGCCTTCTGGCTTAATGAAGCTACAAGAACACAGTCTGCCCGAAAGTGAGGAAATTATTCTTCAGTTAAGAAGGATTTCAATTTTTTTCCCCTGTCAGTAGTTTGGAAGTGAATATGAAGAACACTAATTTAAATCATACTTCCGCCAAAGCTTTTTATCTACTTTTACTGATAATCCAAACTTTAGAACACCCCCCACTAACATTTTCCTGTTTGATACTTTCCTTGTCTAGGCAGTTCGTATAGTCCATTCCCCTGCAGTGTCCTATGCATAAACAAGGTAAAAAGTGTGAAAAAGTTACAGCACAGCCTCAGTGTCTAAGGATAAGGCCAGATTTTTGTTACTACAGAGATGATACAGTTCTCCAACTTGCAAAATGTTTGTGAAACTACAAATTGCTTATGTCCTTTCAAATGTCACTTTCTGAGTGTGAAACATGAAGTTGTGTTTCTGGGTGAATTTAAATTTGGCTGGTGTTTGCCTTGCTCTGAACAGACTGAACAGAAGCAGTGCAGACAGCGTAGTATGAAACCAGACTATTAAATAAACTCTAACAGGAGAAAGACAGTAATTGTAGTGTTATGCTTTCTCTGCTAAAACATGTTACTAATGGTATTTACAGAGATTTCAGTAATATAGCAATTTGTCTTACGTAGCTGAACTGAGTAACTTATGTTACTACAAATATGTAGCCCAGATTGATATATATATATGTATTACATTTGCATACATATGTACATGTGTTACAATATGTAGTCCAGATATGCGTGCAATTATTATTATTTGTCATTAAACATAGTCTTCAAGCCATCTCCTGAAGTAAAGCTGCTTGAGTTTGTGCAAAAATATGTTGTGAAGGGAATAAAACTACATGTGTAAAGATTAGCCATGGGAGTCTGCATGCATCTTTTCATTCTCTGAATGTAGAAGCATCAATACAGGCATGGGAAGACAGTTGTGAAAACTGGGTAGTAGGAAGGTACAGAAATGAGAATATGTAAATCAATGTTTCTGTTTACCTTTCCTGAGCTTCTTGCCAATACAAAAGATCACACAACAAAAAGCCAATCTACTTTTCCATGCTTAAATGGCCTTGAGTTCATACAAGGAACAGAGCTGAAAGAGCCATCTTTCAGCTTTGTGGTGGGAACTGTGGAAACTGTTTCTTTACTTAGTGTTTGTCAGACTCATCTCTAAAATAAGTATTTTTTCCAAAAAAAATTTATTTACATCAAAATGCCTGGCCTAGCTTCAACTGCCTGGAACAAGTTTTTTCCTCATTTTAGTTTAAATTGTTAGGTTGAGAGGAGGGAGGGCTGACCAAACGGGGCAAAATGAAAGAATATCTTCAGGCATTTGTGAAAGGTTCATCTCTGCAAACACATTTACATGTGCTTAGACGGACAGCTTTTATGAACAGCCCTATAAGCACTGAGAAGCCCGAGGAGTCCCAGAGCGGCAGCACACAGGCATGCCTGCTCACTGCACTTACACAGACCACACCTTCTCCATAGAGTGAGTATATGAGCTGACCAGTAAAGTCCTTTTTTTCCTTTTTAGTGGCTTGATAACACATATCCAACTTAGAGGCAATCAGAGAGGCAAAAGTGAGTAACAGAAAATTCTTATAATCTTCCTTGTCCAAGAAACCTCATGGATCTGTGATAAAATTTCTGAGGTACTCCCTCTGGCTTGGAGAATTGGGGCAGCTTCCCTCAAATCCCCTACTGTCCCCTTATTCAGCTTTTCTCTGCAGCTGAGCCAGCATGAGGATACACAGGAGCTGCGAGCAGCTACAGAAACCCAAGACCTGCCATGGCATGTCACTGATCCCAGGACTGTAGCTGGTGAAATTGGATTACCGAGTATTTGCACAAGTAAGCACTGTCCTGAGACCAGGACACGGCTCTCGGGCTCAGATTGATGAAGTGCCAGGCAGCTCTTTCCCACTCCCCCATGCAGCCCTTTCGCCCCCCTCTTCACGGCCGTAGAGGCTAATAAAGCATCTCGGCTCTGCAGCGAAATGGCTGCAGTACGGACACGTGTTCAGCTCTGACCTTACCGCAGGGGTGGTAACCTCCAGCGGAAGGGAGGAAGCTTCTCGCCGTGGCCTGATTTGGCCGAGCTTATCTGGAGGCTAACGAGACAGAGCAGATGCTCTGTGACCGGCTGCTGCTGGGACCCGAGGCAGAAACCCCAGCCCAGCAACCAACTACCTGTGGACCGATGCAGGGAATTACACTTTTAATGAAGGGCAAGTGAGGCACAAAGCCTCACAGGGACCCTCATCTCAAAAATTACGTTCATCCCCGAAGTGTGTATTAACTCTTTAGCCATTGAATCCTTATACAAACTCAAAATTGCTTTTTAAAGCAGTTTCTTGAAGCCCCTCCATCAGCCAGAGGCTGCTTCGGACTAATCCAGGAAGTGAGCCAAGTATTAAAAAAAATAATGTGAGGTTGTGGAACATCTAAAACATATTGATCGTGGTGTAATTATACTTGAAATGTATTAGGGGAAGTAGATAAAACAAACTCCACTCTGAAAAAGATGATTTGGAAGCATGCAAGAGGGCCTCAGGGAAACTGCCCGCAATTCTTATGAGGGATGGTGAAACTACTTCAGAGTATGTAAGGAAAAGGTACTTGAGTGAATGCTAAATGACAAATGTGATAATAACCATCCCAAACATATCACTTTCTAAAGCTTAAGCAAGCGCTCATTTACATGAATACCAGAAGTCAGCACAGAGAATGCAGGAAGAAGCAAAATACATGTGACAAGTCTCACCCGTGTCTTTGAATTAAAGAACAGTTTCTGGACTTAAGATGTAACTGCAGGCAGGGAATAAAGGAAATCTTCTGTTTGCCTTGGATACTGGCAATATAAAAAGCCTGAACTTGTTATATTTACGGTTATGTTTGTTTTGTTTTGTTTTTTAAATCTTGGAAAAATTATCTGAGAGCTACAGTTCCTAAGTGGAGGATCTTGTTTCAGGATATAATAAAATCCAGGGTCTGGGTGAGATAGTAACAGAATCCCTAATTAAGAGCCATGATACTTTAAGCTTGAACATGAGCCTCTTGAAGTAAGTATCCAAAGCATCTTTACATCCAAAACGTTAAGCTCTTGATTAAACAAGCAGAACATACTTTTGATGATAATTAAAGATGAGCTTCAGTCAAAATACTGGATTTGTATGTGGGCCAAACTAAACCTTGGATACAAATCCTCACTCTCTTTTTGTTTTAACATGTTCTGATCCAAAATGTTTGGGCTCTAAGGCACCATTACCAACCAATTCAAGTGCTTTACTTGCTGCATGTAAGATTGCAAAGCTGTTCATAAACCAACAGTGAGAGCATCCCTGCTGTGTGACAGATCATATTAGATTGGTAAATTGAGACACAAAATTAAAAACCTCTTCTCCTTCTGAAGTGAACGTCAATTTGGTGTATCCACATCTTTGAGCAGCCAATGGAGGTTTTTTTTCCTTCTGATGCACACAGTATTCACAATTCCAAAGTAAACTCTGTACAGTTTCTCATTATCTCTGAAAACTGAGTTTTAGGTGTTGCACGTGGGATCCAACCAAAAAGCAACATTTAATATGCATTCCAATCTTGAAAACATCGGTCTAGCTTCCTCTTCTGAATTCATACGGTGCATCATTTCTAGGACAGGAATAAAACCTCCAAGTTTTTTCCTCCAATTCTGAGTGGAAGAACTTAGCTTATAACTGCAAAATGTATGTGAGGGATCTGAAAATTAATATTGAGCCACAAAAGATGGACCGTCCTCTGTGCAAGGAATGGGCTCAGAGGGGTTGTGACAGATTAATTCCTCCAGGTGAGCTAAACAGAAGAATTCTTCCCAGGGAGCTGCTGGAGGTGGGGCAAGCCCTCTGCCAGCACTGGGAGCAGACTCATACTGCAACCTGCCCTTCAAAGGCAGAATTAAAGAAAAAAAAAAAAAAAAAAAAAAAGGAATTTAGATGGTATCAAAGGAAAGCTCACATGATCTAAAGCCTCAGTGTTTTTAACAAAGTTAACTCCAATAAAATGTAGGATCACCTGATAATAAGATGACACCGTGCTTGACAGAGTTCAGAACTAGAACTGGAAGCAGTCCTGATGACTGCATTTCTTTTTTTCTTATCTTCAGAATTGGATCAGACCAGCTGCTCTTTGTGCAGTGCATCCTGTCTGAAATTGTAGATGCCTGAGGACAGGCAGAGGAAAAGGACACCCCCCAGCAGTCTGTCACCAGTGTAACTTCCAGCACTCTTTATATTTAATAGCCTTCAATGGATTTTTTTTTCCCCCCTCATGATTTTACCTAATCACTTTCTAAATCCTGTTTCATGCAGCACCATGAGAAGGATAATCTAATTTTGGTCTCTAAGAGATGTAATACAAAAACAATAGGAGGCCCAGGAAAGAATGAAATAATTTTGCCAACAGATATTACAAAAGCAGGCAATGACTCCAGTCCAGTGATGAAGAAAATTACTAAAACCACTCATTACAAAACAACCCAGCACTTCCTGCTTTGAAAAATAATCTATTTAGACTACTTGGCAGTTTTGAAGAAAACCCAAACCCTACCTTTAATCGCTTTTCTAAGCTTGTGGTGTGGATGTTTCTTTCCTCAGTGCCATGATGTGAGCTTTAAAGTGTGCCTGGTTCTACTGTCTGGGGTTAACTAAAAATGCTCCTAAACCCAAAGATCCTTGGATCAGTCATGAATGAGATGAATCAAGACAAATGTTCCCAGGGTGTCACTATTCTTTGCTTAGAACAGGAGAACTGGCTCAAACACGTGTCCCTTCTGTGAATTTACGCTACTTGCTCTCTATTCAATTACCAGGCTCTACATATTGTACGATCTTTGTACACTATCACTGTTGCAATCTCCTGCAAAATGTTGAAAACTGTTTTCGAAGTTCTACACTTTACAACAAACAGTAAAACAAACCTGTAAAGGTTTGCTGACATCATGTTCTAAATTGATTTGCAAAATAAAATAGTATTTTCCTTGTTTAAATATATACAAATTACCCCTTTTAATAAACTCTAGCCTAGTATTTTTTTTAAAAATCATATATACATATAGGGTCCTTTTTTTTTTTTGCATGTCTTGCATCCTATTTAACAATTTCCAGCTGTTCCATGTGCAAATAGTTGAGTATATTCTACACAATTTTAGAGCTCCGTGTAACCAGGGCAGAAATTGGTGAGATTGCATATACCTTTCTATTTACCCAGACTTCCAGAAAATGCAAGTAGCAACTTCCAAACTAAAGCCAAAGTAAAATATGCTCTTAAAGGCTCATTTGCAATGATAGTAAGATGAATCTTTGTTTTCTCCTCTACCTTAAAAATTTAAGTAATTTTATTTTCTCTATTTCAATCCTATTTCATGTTACATGACATTTTTGCACATCCTTTTTGTATTCATGTTAACACATTTGCTGCTATTTCCCTTTATTCTTTCATTCTCATTGAAAATGCTAAACCACGCCTGATTCTTGCTTCATAGTGTGTCTTTAAGATAACACAGCTCCTGTTGAAAATGTTCCTGGGAAAGGAGAAAAGTGATTACTGAGCTGAATGTTTCAGAGGCTCTTAAGCTGTCATCAGGTGCACAAAATGTGCCAAATTTCCCATTCTGCTTGTTGAACAGAAGAAAATACTCAACTGAGACATCTGCAACATGACTTTTTTTTTTCTCCTGCTGTTCCTCCTGACCCAAAACCAAGGCTGCTACTGCCTTTCTGAATATATTACTCCTTATCTGAAAAATCATTTAGTTGCAAATCCAAAACCTTTCCATTCTTACTGCATACTCCTGTATTAGTCATGGTAAAGGCCCGTAACTGTGCCGTACAAATGTTGGACTAATGACCTCTCTGGTATTTCTATAGAAATGCTCTGTTAAACACCCAGGCATTTCAACTTTCAGTCACAAGACCTATAAAAAATTAATACTCTGAGTCTCTAGTTTCAAACCACAGCACTGCATCATTAAGAGCTTTTCAATCCTCCCACCCCACGCACTTCACGAAGAGGGAGGGGGAAGAGGGCTTTTATCTTCCTGGCATTTAAATTTCAAATTTTCTTCTCCTCTTGTTTGCATTTTTAAGTAGTTCTGGAGATTGGCAAAAAACAACAGCCAGCAATATGAGCCTGAGTTTTCTTTTATTATATTAAATATAACATTATCTAAGAACCTTTTAGCCAGATATTTAACTACCAATGAAAACAGGTGTAAAAATCAATCTTTATCATTCAAGTAACTTTTGTCTTAACTGTGGCTTTCAGAAATTATAAAACTTCTATTTCAAGATTAAAATACTATCTCCTTGACACAGGGAAGCACCTGGAAAAACAATGTGCAGCTGTCAGTACATTCTCCAGCTACGCACAGTTTTGATCTGGCCTTTAAATAAGTTTGCTGTATTAGAGTAACAGGTTTTTTGGAAGTATGTTTATATATTCCAGTAAAAAATAGTTATTTTATGTGACAGTTCTGCAAACCAAATTCGAATGAGTCTTCTGCGTTAGTCTCTCAAAATGTTCAAAATTACTTTCTGAAGTCTCCACACACTTTCTTCCCACTCGCTTTAGCCCTGATGCACATCATGTTTCTTCCTTCTATCCTTCCTCATTGCTCTTATAGCAATTTTTATAGATGTCCCCCTCTCCTGTCCAGCCTGGCCTGGCGGGGTTCAGTCCTGCACACACGGCTACAGTGATGTCACCTACAGCCCACCCTGAAACACCACGGTGTTCTGCAAACCTCGCAGCTTGCTTTCCCTCGTATTCCTTTCCCCGCCGTATGTTTGGCTGTTTTTTTTTTTAACTTCGTTTATTCAATGTCAGCTTTTAAGCGTTAGCCTGTAGTTGAAGAGGATGGAAACAGATTTATCTCTTATCACCAATGATAGCAGAGCTTGACAAGATGTCACCTATGTAGCATTTTCAAAAAGCATCTGATCAGCACGGAACGGAGCAGAGGTTCTAGGAAGCCACAGAACCCCCCACGAAAAGAGGTTTTTTTCTCTTTTACTAAAATTGCTCAGGAGAGGGGCAGTCAGCACCCACCCGCCTATTTCTGAAGAGACTAAACGTCCTTTCTCTCTTACCAACCCACCTCGTACGTCCCTTGGGCAACGAGGCGCCCAGGGAAACCGGTCACCTTCCCCTCTCCGTCCCCCCGCGCAGCGCTGACGCCTTAACGACCGCTGCGGGCGGCGGCCCGGAGCCCCACTGCCGAGGGACAGGCTCCACGCGTGTCGCCGAGCCGCCCCCAGCGCGGGTGTGTGTGTGTGTGTGTGGGGGGGGGGGTGCGTGTGTGTAAAACGACACACGAACACGCAGACGCCACAAGCCCCCCTCCCGCCGCCGCCCGCGCGTGCGCCCGCCGCGCAGTGACGCCACACCGCGCCGTGACGTCCCCGGCGAAGCCTTCCCCCGGCTCCGCCAATGGGACGGCGCGGAGGGGAAGGGCTGCGCCGCCGTTGGCTGGCCCCGCGCCGCCGTTGGCTGGCCCCGCCCCGCCCCCTCCGCCGGCCGCCGCCGCCGCCGCCGCCGAGAGGGCGGTGGGGGGGACCCGGATGAGGCGGCCTGGGGCGGGCGCGGCCCCCGCCATGGCGGCGGCGCGGTGAGGGCAGCGCGCCCGGGGCGCGGCGCGGGGCGCGGCGAGGATGCTGCTGGTCTATGTGATCCTGCTCTCGGCGCTGGCCGGCTGCTTCCTCACCCTCCTGCTCCAGCTCCTGCTCCTCTACAGGAAGAAGCCGGAGCCTCCCGGGGCGGCCGGACCCTCCGACGGCCTCGTCTACGCCCGCGTCGCGGCCGACCACAGCCTCAGGGATTACCTGCAGGGCTCGGAGCCGGCCGCCAGCCAGGCGTCTCCGGAGCCGGTCCCCGGCCCGGTCCCGGCCTCGGCGCCGGCCGCCGCCGCGGTTCCCGCCGCCGCCCCGGGCCCGGAGCCCAGCGCCAAGCAGCCGCCGCAGCCGCCGCAGCCAGAGCCCCCTCCGGCCCCCTCCTCCCGCGAGGAGACGTGCCACTTCCTCAATGCTATCTTCCTCTTCCTCTTCAGGGAGCTCAGGGACACGGCCCTGGTCAGGAACTGGGTCACCAAGAAGATCAAGGTGGAGTTTGAGGAGCTGCTTCAGGCCAAGATGACAGGGAAGGTGCTGGAGGGGCTCAGCCTCAGGGACGTCTCTCTCGGCAACGTCCTGCCTGTCTTCAAAGCTGTCAAGCTCATTCGGCCGGTGGTCTGCAACGAAGAGGGCTGCCCCGAGGAGCTGGGCTTCGAGGTGGACCTGGAGTACAATGGTGGCTTCCACTTGGCCATCGACGCTGACCTGGTGTTCGGCAAGTCGGCCTACCTCTTTGTCAAGATCTCCCGGGTGATGGGAAAGCTGAAGCTGGTCTTCACGCGCCTGCCCTTCACACACTGGTCCTTCTCTTTTATGGATGACCCTGTGATACTCTTTGAAGTGAAGTCTCAGTTTGAAGGGAGGCCCATGCCTCAGCTCACTTCCATCATTGTAAACCAGTTCAAGAAAGTTATTAAGCGCAAGCACACCTTACCCAATTATAAAATCAGGTAGGATGTCCTGCGTCTTCAATGTTGCTTGAGGTGGCATCATTAGAATTGCTGGTTTGCTCTTGCTAGGTAGAAAGAGATTTTTGGTGGCACTTCTACAGTAGAGGCACCTGTACATAGCTTGTCTGATACCTAAAGCTTTCCATGAAGGTAAACATTATTTTCTGTTTATAATAGACGAAGAAGCCATTGCACAGTGAGATTGTGACATGCCCTGAACTACATGTAACTAAATGGCAGAATTAGTAGGTATCAAAGATTTTGGGATCCTGTGAGGTGTCCAATGACAGGACTGTGATATCTGTCTTTGGAAAGGTAGAAGGATGGCTCCGTGGACAGCATGTGAGTTTGGGGTGTCCACCTCCCAAGCTTCTGCTGCTGGTGAGCCACCTGGGCAAGACTTGTGGCTTATGTTTACCTATAGAGGCCAGATGGTTGTTAGTTAATGTGAGAAAGGATAAAGTTCACTCTCTAGGGAATATTTTTGAGATCCCATAATAGATGGTGTCCTCTTCCTTTCTGGCTTGCTGAATTTCTTCAGTAACTTTGGGGAAATCTAAAAGTTGATAAGAAAAGTAAAACTTTGGGGGACCTCTTGGGTTTTTTGCCTTTTTTTTTGTAATATAGTGTATGTTCTTTTATAAATGCACACACTGCATCACAGACTGCATTATAGAGTGAGTATAATGACATGATCAGTGATGTTTCGGTAGCAGAAGTGGCAAGTGCCATTTTACTTTTATTCCACACTCATTTCTGATTAAAAGCTGTTGAATGTTTTACCACTGTTCAGGTACCATGTTACCTTTCTGTCATGTGTCTTGCCACTTTTAAGATACCATGTTTCCTTCCTCTTTTGTTTATTCTTTGTAGGTTGTGTTATGTGTTAAGTAAGGATTTTTGGTTTGTTTACCACATTCTTCTGCAATAAGTCTTTTCTCTGAAATTCATCAGAGATGAGTAAATGAAAATGCCTATTTGAATTTTGAAGTGTAATTAGCTTTGCAGTGATGCAATTTTTAAAGCCTTTTCAGCTGGTTCTTCTGAAATCAAATTTATGAGTTCTCATGAAAGTGGATGTGTAAAATATCCAAGATTTGGAAAGCCCTCATAGGGCAATAAGTAGTTTCTTTGAGTAATGGGATGGTCCTTCAAAATTTTGAGATACTGAATTGCTCTCCAGAAGAGAGTGATCCCTGGGCAGCAGGGAAGCTGTCAGGAGCAAGTTTGCTTCCATTCTCTTATTGTGTTAGAAAGACTAAAGCTGTTAACTGTGGAGAAGAGCCTGAAGGAGAGTCTGGGTAGCACAGTTGTGGTGCAGAGTGAGCACTCTTAGCATACCTAGAAAGAGTAAGTAGAGCAAATGATCTTTACACTCTCTAGACAAGTTTTTAGGGTGCCTGTGGAATCAGTGATGATGTTCTCTTCCCCTTCAGCAGAGGAAGACAGACATCTTCATTTTTCCTTTGGGAGATGCACCTGGGCAGTAGGGCGCTTTGATCATTTAGTTAGAGGTAATGAATTTTCCACATATTTCTCAAACTTTCTGTGCCAGAAAGAAGGGATGAGGCATGTGAGCCACTGACATGTTAAAGGGACTGAAGGGGAAAATAAGCAGAGTGCAGTGTTTGGGACGGAAATGAGTAGAAGTGTGAGGATAGATGGTAACTGACACCGAGAACAATATAGGAGGTATGATTTATTGTAGAACTAAGAATGAGCTGTTATTTTAAAATGTTTTCTTTAAGTTATAAGGAGTTGGGAATTTGTGAATGCTTGAGAGGGAAGTACAGTATCATAGCTGGTTTTAACACTCAATAGTAGGCTGGCACAGGACGGCAAATGTTTAGTCAGACAGTGTCCAACCGTGTATATGGTGCTTTTGACCTTTAAATTTTACGCCGTGTTTTGAACATGTCATTCTGACCCACTGTGTTGTGAAAGGGGAAGACATGACAATAAGCTTAATGGGCATTAATGAAATTGTCTTAAGGAAGGAAGATTGGGTCATTAGTGTTTGAACCGTCTAGAACTTTGCCTTTAAAGCTTCAAGTGGGAGCACAGACCCCCCTGCATGTGAACCTTTAGCTATCCACAGTTGCCCACGGTTTTGTGGAACACAGACGGAAAACGTGTATTCTCCACTAGCACGTCTCAGATGAGTTAGACCCCTAGACAGCAAACCTTGGTACCAGCTGAGTAGTAACAATACACTCTTACATGATCGCATAGTTCACAATTGAGACATCATGGCTTGGACGATATGGAAAAATGATTTGGAAAATCAAGCCCCCTGCTGATAAAATGCAAAACTTGGTATTTTTAATAGAATTTGTAAGAATACGTTGGCTTGGGATTATGGTTGGTTAATATATTCCTTAGCAAGGAATGTATAGGAAGAAGTCAGAGTTTCACAACTGCTTAATAATATGTTTACCTTACTTAAAGCTTAACAATTTCTCATCTATAGGGAATGTGCTTATCCTCTCCCCATTTTTTTCCTATGGCCTATATGTACTTTTGTTTAAGTACATAGTCAGTATTTGCTTCTATGTGTAGCTCAAAACGTTTTTGATGTTTCCCTACTCTTGCTTAAGTAACTTTGTAAATAAATCTTTGAAAAGTAGTAATTGCAACTTTGTAAACAAAAGCACTTGGAGTGGGAGTTCCTTTTTCAGCTGGTTAAAAGGGGCACTTTGTTACCCTGCTAGCTTCAAGACTGAAAAATCCGCAAAGGAGTTTTATCTTCTTTCAATGTTTTAAGTAGCATTGAAAATTAAAATATACCCTTTTCTTTGTCTTCTTTACCAGGCAACTTCTAGAGTTTATTACTTGGCAGTGAATGGTATAAGAAGAGAACTTTTGCCAATAGTTGATTTTGAACATTCTATAACTAAGTTTGTGTAAAGCAGATTATCCCCCCACCCCCTCATTATTTAATTGTAAAACACTGCATTAAAAATAGTCTTGTGTCTTCATGTGTGTATTGTCTGTTGCTACAGCAAAATCAGTACACACATACTTTTGTATTCTTTTCAGTTATGTACAAAATTTTATGCAGCAAAGCAGTGATTAGTAAGATAATCTTTTTCAGTGTCATCCATTGCTAGGAGTGGCTTTGTGCAATGTGCGTAACTGTAGCTTGAAAGTGGAAGAAGGCATCTTGTGTTCCTGATGCGCTCTTAAGGGTCTGGTCTATGAGGGGAGGCAATGTAGACTAGTAAGTGCATTTTAAAGTTTGCCTAGCATTTTATGTATGATTTTTTCCATAAAAGCAATTGTCTACTAATTGAAAAAGCAGAGATGCACTTTATGTCTAAACAAGTAAGTAATAAATTGTGTTTTGTTCTGATAGTGTGTAATCACTTCTCTTTGGCTCTTGAAGAAATGTGTTTGTGTCTGGCAAAACACCCTATTTTGAAGTTGCTCTGCCACTGAATAGCAATTTCTATCTCATATAGTAGAATTTGGTTAAATCTTTGGAAGCAAGGTTGCTGGTTAAATAATTCAGTGAATGTTGTTAGGCTTTTCTTTTATAGGCTTGGTTTTTTTTTTCTTTTTTTTGTTATCATTGATAAAAGACTTGTGCAATTCACTTGATAGTAGCAAGAGTTACTGCTGTCCTGTAGTTAACTTTAATCTTATTGTATTTGTTGCTTTGTAATAGAAATGCAGACAGATTTTCTGAAAGCCTTGTAGTCTGTCAGAAGTTTCTTGTTCAGATGTGGGGAAGATCTAAAATGACAATTTTTTTTTTTTCTTCTCTAATATACATGAGTTCTGGTGCACTCTTGA